TCATTAGGCGTCCTGGAAATTGCATTTCTTAATCGTACAAACAACAAAACGTCGGTTTTTAGAAATTAATTCGATTTAAGCAACCGTAACTAGGGTATTACTGTGTCATTCCAGAAAAATTCCTTTTAAAAGGCTGCCATTGGCCCCTTTTGGAATGGAACTTTTTCCAATTATAGCGAAATTTTGCACATAAAACTGTTATCGTTGTGTTGTTGTTTATTTAAACATACTTGGTTTGGGTATAAACAACGTCTAAGAATGTCAGTTAAAACTAGGGCAAGCGGTTCGTTTATTTGAAAGCCAAATAACAGTCAAGACTAGACACATGTGCGCTATGCGACATCAGGTGTGTCGGCTATCACGGCTGTTGTCAAATTGAAATGGACGCCAGTTTGGGTTTAAGTAGTTGGCTGAAACTTCGTCTGTGCAGTTGTGACTGATTCCAGGTGGCCTTCAACACGATACGATCGAACCACTCATCGATTTCGCCAGACTGGATTGGTCCAGTCTCGAATGAGACAAATTTGGAGGGTTATTCGACGTTGGTGGTCGGTGAGACCGTCTGGCTTCCGTGTTCCATCTTTATACCAAATGTTCAAACCATAGGTGACGGTTCTCGATGTTCAATGTAAGACGCAGTTGACTGTCAAGCTAGTGCAAGGGCTCCACAGGACGATACAGCCAATGAGAGCTCAATTTCCTCACGTGCAAACTCAACTTTGACACCAGGTAGTTGCCACACAAAGCACAAACTGGCTTCCTCTCGCAGACAATTTGTGCTTCAGCATGGGCGTTGGGAGAACAATTAGTTAGGAGTGCATATTGTGCCCACAAAACGTCCTTGTTTATGATGCGGTGGGTGCATTCAGCACCGGCGATTGGTTGATTGATTGAATGCCGAAGATGACGCAACTGCGTGTCCGAATTCAGTCAAGCTCGTTAGAATTCATCCTGCTAGTCAGGATCTCAACGCAGACCTGTCGTGGTGGCAGTGTACGTGTCTGGGCTCACTCAGACGCGACGCGGTGATGCCAGACAGCCACGTGGAATATTGGGAGGTGTGTATACCCAAGTTGTTCAGACACATGCCGACCGAGACTATGGACGCGATGTCAGTCAACTCACAACACCGTCATCACGCAGATATCTAAACATCACATTTCTGGTTGAGTGACAGATGTTGTAAAGTCAAGTTAAATTGTGTCTGGTACACGAGTCGGCTGCGTACGTCTTTTGTCCTACTTGTTTTTTGGCTATCGAGGGACAGCCAATCGAATACGTGGTGGTGTTTGAGTGGTTTTGATGATAATACCTGATTCTTCTACTTTTCGCTAATTTTTCGGTGGTTGTGTGGATTTTGGCATTTACCCAATGCGCAGTAACGGAATAATTCAAGAACGACCTTCGACTGCTTACCTCTGGCGCCTCATCAGCTCAACGCTAAAAGCGTTTCTACTCATTAATTGCTAATGTATCCTCGAAAATGTGAGGCTTATTCCACTTTGACGAGAGCTTGCCATTCAAAGTCAATTTAAAAAAAAAAGATTACAGTACTTCCCGCTAATCGGCTCAAACCTCACAGCATGCCAGCAAGACGTTCAAATCCAGACAACCTAATCACACCCAAAGTCTACTTAGACGATTACGCCGATCCCCACTGGTTTTTATGGGTCGCGACTGCTTTACGAATGAGCAGGAGAGCAGGTTTGAAGCAACACGTAATTTACTGAGCGGTTTGGAGTTAGCAGTTGCGCTTCAAATTTTACCAGCAAGAGTTGCCTTTGATGATGCACACCTTTGAACGCATGTGCACATAGTCAAAAGTGCAAATTACCGATTACAAGTGCAACAATTAGGCTGCTGTCTAGATCCCATTAACGTGTCAATTTACCGGCCTGTTGGTTTCCTAGTTTTTTTTCCTGAATCTCAAGGTCAAATGCCGGCGACAGTGTTATCTCACAGCCACCGTTACAAGCGTGTATGATCCAACCATTCCCAAACTGTGTTCTGACGCCGGTTGACTTTTAAGTCAAAGAATTTAGACTTCATTTGCGCAGAATGTTGAATCTTTCCTTTGTAACAAGCAGATTTAGTTTGAAAACACGTTTCCTTCGTTAAATGCCGGTGAGGACAGCAATTTTTAAAACCCTGACCCACATGAATGGTCTATGTGTGTGTGTGTGTGTGTGTGTCGAATTTCGTGAGAATCCGCAAAAAAGGCAAAAGTATTCATTTACAGAGATTAACTGCGCAGACGATTCGAGAAACAGTGCAACCCCTTCATTAATGCAAGCGCACGAGGATTAATTAGATGGTGGGGCGACAGTCAAAGTGCTTTTAGACACCAAATTAGAAATGGTTTATTCTACTTACCATCACACCAAGCTACAAAAATGCAAAACTAGCTTTTTTTCGAGTTACATTGAAACATATTTCAACGACATGCAGATTTCAAGATTGATTGAAACTGTAAAGGTGAGGATTCTGAAGACTTTTAGGGTTGCGTTCACACTTCTGCAATATTTTGACTCTCCAGCAGCATTCAGGACCATTGAATGTGGAGGATTACTGTCCATATGATAGGGAAGGTGGAGGCGACACGAAAATTTGCTAGAAAACATCCCTTGATTTGTAGACACTTGATTGGCCAATCAGAGTTTGGAAAGCATGCGCACAAACACATTGCAGTTTTGTCCGCTTTTCAACTCTGCATTGAGATTCGTTCGTGTGTAACCAACTTTAATGAAATGGCATGTATTTGTGTTCTGAACATCTTTAGCATTTTAACGAATTAGAGTCCCCTCGGCCGAGTTAATCCTGATATATACACTAAATCATTTTACCAAAGCGGCATGACCTTGGTTCGACCAATGGGGAGCGACCTCGACTGAACCAATCTCATTTGAGTGAACTAAGTTGATGATCAAAATCAGTTCTCATGTAATGTTGGTAGCATTGAAAAAAACTGGAAATTTGTGCAGGAATTTAAGTTGCATTTGAAGAAAAAGTTGCGTTGCATGGCATAATACGGTTGCAGTTAAAAGGCAAGTAAGTTTCGGCGGAAGAATTCAGCTCACTGAGGTACGCCCTGGTACCGACAACTTGAGGCGAAAGCATGGGGCAAATTCACGCCAGATGATTCACCACCACTTTTAAATTGCAAGAACTGACAATTAATTTCCAAGATAGTGATCCAGTATGTGTATTATGCTTCGAGGTAGTCGACCAATCAGCATAAAGTCCGGTTTTGTTTAAATATACTTAGAAATTACAGTGTGTGGCCCTTTCAAATTGCTTCTTGGTGTAAGTGCTTACCAATAGCACACTGATGCTGCCGGGCAATGAGAGGTCTCGTGTCAGTCATTGTCGTTCAGTATACTTACCAAACCCTTTTCAAATGTTGTTTAAGGGATCTACAGACAGATTCCGATCGCATCCCTATTCACACAAATAAGATCTGTCAATAATCGTGATCAGAGTTTATTGGTCACGGTAAGGCGTGTATACGGGAAATGAAGACGTAAGAAGTCGCAGCTGAAGATTCGAAATTTCATGGCTGAAAGTTAGTTTAGTGTGAAAATGCTTAGCATTGCGTAGTACCTATCAGTTGCGATGTTCATTTGATGCTAAAAAAACGAGAGTCTGTAAGTGTTTACACAAATCGATTATCGATTGACTGACTACCTCCACATAAATGGAAAAAAATGCAAATTTATAAACATAAAAATGGAAAAAGTATGAAATTTGGCATTTAATATTCTCGTTTTAAAATGATTGCAGTGTTTTGGATATGGTTTTCGTTACATTTGAAAAATAAATAAATTTGTTTGGGTCCCAAATCAGCACATTTCTGCACCCCAAGGCTTGAATAAAACCACTCTTTACCCACCCTTTTGGTATTAACTGCCAAAATAGCTGTTGTGTTACTGACTGCAAAGAAACAACGATGCAAGCCAATTAAATTTTAATTGAGGTCGAATGAACTGGCTGCAAATAGCGCCTGGAGGAATTGAGCATGGCTAGTCGATGCTTTCCGACTTGTTTTTTTTTTAAATTCAACTCCCGGATATTGTTGGGTGGTGGCCAGAAAAGTTTAAAGACACGCCATCTGTTTACACGGTTGCTATTTGCACTGTGATTAGGGCAAAAAGCAAACATTTTCGTCGACTAATAGATCGAATCTCTGTCTACAAAACTCCAAAGCGATTTTGCAAATTCTAAAGGCCGGTGTTACTAGACTCCCTTTCTTGAGTTTTTACTAAAAACGGTTTAAAAAAATCATTTTTCAAATCGGTTGTCAGTGATGTTTTCACTTTGAAAAACAACCAGTAACAGAGGTGCAAGTTGAGTAGTACGGGTGCTGTCAGCTATTGCAGTGGGATATCTTACGATCGATCATGTATTGCCTTATTGATGTATATAGACAGCCAAAACATGACACAAGATTGTTACGTGTGAAACATTTTTATATTTCCTCGAGGAAGTCGGCTACTATCAGGTTCGTAAATTTAGCATTCCCGCAATAAATGACAACACAAATCGCTCAACAAAAGACCGCCTCGATACTAGTACTTTGCGATGCTGAATCAGACGGCCCACAATTGTTTTGTCTGCAAGTGTTTTTACACTTACAACACACAGTTGGCAGCATTCGCAGCCCCCTCAACTGCGCTGTCATGCCACTTCCGCTGACCACTTTGTCGTGTGACTTGTACACTGTCTGCCACCCCAAAACTCAATTGCTGCGGGCGCCTCACGACTAATTGCTGGTGTTTAAGTGCTTTCCCGGGATGCGACTGGGCAATTTGCAGTGAGTCGACATCTCACTTACATGTCTGTCCAATCACACGGCAGCTCTCCGCTTATTGGCTATCAGGGCTCTTCCCATGGCTGCACATCCGTGGTGCACACAAATAACACAAAACGCTACCTTTTCCCCACTGAAGGATTACAACGCATGGGTGGAGATTAAGTGGTACTATAGCGGTATTTACAAAATCATGTCTAGCTTTGCGCACCGGAATGCTAAAGACTCAACGGGAGGCGAGCAGTCAATGTTACCATGTCGACGCAAGGAGACTGGCCAGTTGCTGGCGGTGGATATCCTCCGTGGACGACAAACAGATCAATACGAATACTCTGTAGGGTGCTTAAGCGATGAAACTCCTCTTTGTCAACTTCCGTGCACTCAGGGTGACCTGGCGGCAGTCAATGGAGCCGAGGTAACATCACAGAACATGCGACGGACTCCAAGACACTCAACAGATCCTTCTGTTCTCTCAAATCCCGAAGACATCTTCGAGTCACATAGTTATCAGCAACGGCCGATGAATATGGGATGGAACGGGGTGGTCAGTGAAAGTCGAGGATACCAATCCAGGACAGTTTATGCGAATCCATTTAATTGCCTACCATCGACTGGAACCTCGCCGACTGAAGAAGCGAAGGACACCCTCAAGGCCAACCAGCTAAGTGTTCAAATAGACAAACGTGGATCCACAAACAGTGTTGTTGAAAAAGTGTCAAATTCAACGGTGAAATCAGAACAGAAGAAAGTAAGTTAACCAGCGTTTTATTACAAATATCGAGTTAAATGTGGGAAACTCAAAAAGGTGTGCATGTCGTTTATGCTCTTTTTTTCGACATTTCCATTGTTACTTGATTGTTAATGCACCAATCGAAACATGAAAGCTGGTGAACAGGTTTAACTTCGTTATTGCAGTGACCTTGGTGCATTTAAACAAGAACAAATTTTTCAACACACGAAAGCCACGCATCTGTTCTTGGTTTCGATTTTGCACGAATTCAAACAAACGAGTAAGACAACGTTTGACGAAGCGTTTCATTGGTAGTTTGCACGCCTTGGTAAGGCGTACTGCTGAGTTATCGATTCACTACAATGTACATCCAAATTTAGCATTTAAACCGTTCAAATATCACTTTGTGGAATTGCAATTTCTGTCAGTGATGCTGACAGTTTGTTGATGTCCCTACAATTAGGTTAAAAATGGTAAAAAAAAGCGCTGACAAACAAATTTCAAATGGCTAAGAAAACAGATCTGTGTGGTCTAGAAGCTGTCAATCACTTTTTCGTGAATGACAATTTTAAGCAACCAGGAAATCACTATTTATTTGACAGTTAAATCCGAGTCGAGTTTGATTGGTGTTTCTTCGGACGAATCGTTTTTTTAGCGCTAGAGAACAGCTGTTTCAAAATAGTAAACGATTTCATTAGGTTCAAGTTTCAAGTCGTAAGTAAGTCACTTCTATGCATAGTTTAGGCAGGTTAAAATCGTTTTGACGCACTTTATTAGCTAGTAGCACATCAGGGCTTTGAAAATCAGCTCATTCTAACGAAACTTTGGCCAATGGTCACTGTCGACGCTGCACCGCTTTTGTCCCTTTCAACGCCAACGCCAATAGCCTCACTGAATTGTGGATGTGTTGCTTGCATGTAGCCAATTTCGCCACACCAGAGGGCGACCAACCAATTACAATTTTGCGCGATATCAAGTAATTTCATATGGGGTCAGCGGAATTATGCCGAGGTTCTAATGGAAAACGTTAATGATCCAAAGACCAGAGCATGACGAAGTATTCAGCAACGCTCTCAGCGGGGTCAGGAACTTCAAATTCGACTTTCTGGCGAATAAGTGATCCCTCATCTACAATATTCCGTGTTGATCCTGTGCGAACTACTCTCAAATTCGGTTCTTGATCTTTTATGGACAGACTCTTGTTCTTTGACACTTTTTCCTTCTTTCCCTGCCAGTCATGCTCCTTGAACTTGCCAACATCACTCGGGTGCTTAAATATTTAATGAGTATTTGAAACCCGGCACTAATCGCACGTCGCCCATTGGCTGCTGAGGGAAATACGCTTATTGCTTTGGCTTAATGGGCCAGCGCATATTCACGAATATGCAACGCAAATCGCTAGGGGACTTAGTGCCTCAGGAAACTGCGATGGTGCGGTTCGTTTCGGATGCACGCGACGCCAGATTCATCGCCTCATGGCCTACCTCAGACAGCGAGCTAGTTCAAACCATTCCCTCTTTTTGACCTCTAGGTGGTGTTTTGCGTTAGGCAAAATCTGTGGGGCTGGTATGGTGAAGTAGGAACGATTCAACTCCTCTAATTGCCCTGTTTTCACAAACGCGTGCTATGTAGGAAGCTGTGACAAAGTACGAATTTAACATCAAAAATCAATTGCAAACATCCGTTGCCATTGGAGATGTACTCGAAATTGTTGAGGCACGATTTGATTCGCGTAGTTGCTACTCGAAGTTAGCTGTTTTTAAGCCGAAAACAACAACAAAGGTTTGGTTTGGCTTTGTCGTAAATAAATGCAAGCAAAACACAAAGAAACATGAGTTGATGTGTTTTCGTGCATAGCTCAAGGTTGCAATCGTAAATGTTTTGATAAGAATCAAATAAATTTTGCTTCCAAAAGTCAAGAATTTGAATTTTAAAAAATGACTTCGGCAACACTACTGTGACATGAAATTTAACAAATTTAACGAGAGCTTTTTGGGAATACCTTTTGGTGTTTTCACTTAGCTAACAGTAGCTATGGTGCACCACACTTGACCTTCGACATTTGACCAATTGTGTAAATTAATAGCTAGCTTTTTTGGAGACAGAAAAGTTTTTTGAAAAAAAGGTTTTTTTCAAACAATGATTCATTTTAAATTGGACAAACGTCACCCAAGCACCGATGAAGGTGATTCGCTTATTTTGATTTAAATTAATTGGCAAATTTCAATCTCAAAAACTAGTGATACAGTAATTTTTCATAGGTAGCAAGTAGCACAGTCGAGAAGTACACTAATTTATTTTTAAAAAGAGGCAAGTTTGGTGGACATGCTGAGACGCACTTTTCAGACGGCAAAACTTTGTGTGAAGTCTTACTCACACGTACGTACGTACCCACATACAAAAACGCTTGAAACAGCCAATAAACTAAAATCCTACCTTGTCCATTAACCCCGTGCCTAGTGCTAGAGCTAGTCAAACCAACGGTTCCAGGAAGTAGCTGTCGGATTTCACAACTGTCCACGTGTAGTAACTCGATCGATTCTTCCTACACGGCATGGAAATATCGTGTGTGTACGTGTGTGGACACTGCTCGTTTGCAGCGGTGTTATAAAGTTTCAAAATGTCATGGAGTGTGCCATGGTTTTATTATTGTCAAAGTAACAACAACGTTTGCTTAATTGTTGAATTGGGTCTCCCCATGGACACTAGTTCCATGCAAGGAATAGCTCTACTTGTCGAAACAGTTTGGGTCATGTAGTGTTGCTTAAAAGAAGAACAACCTCTTACGAGATTGGTGAAACAGGATATATGCGTAGAGGATGATAACGGACGTAAAAATTTTACTCCAATCGCTTTGGTACTGATAAATGTAGACACCATTATTTAAAACAGTTGCCAGTAAGCCTTTAGTGGAACTTAATTTTACTAAAGTGTTGTAAAATAAACGCCTCAGAAGGGTTCTGAACTCGCAGGTTTAACATTCCTGCCTGACACAACCATGGAAGGTGTTCAAAAAGATGGTTCCAACCTAGTCGTATGGATTTTGATGTGGAATTTTGATTTGTGTTTTGTGTAGAAACCCTACGAAGCCCCGGCCTTCAGACTTAAACATCCAGCCAGGACCTACCGATTAGCGGACGTGTCTACCTTGCACCCCGCTGGTGCGCACGCCAACAAACACATGAGTATGAAGTCTCTGCGACAGCATTCGCCCTGGAAAAGCTTTGTCCAGGAGTCCACAGTTCCTGACGTACCAGTGTCCGATTTCACGGATACGGGCACAAAGAAGATGACTGCACAGTCAACCGTGAAAACAGGATCTTTGATAAGGACCTCGGCTTCACCGAAGCAGCCCGTGTCAGCGGAAAAGTCAGTTTCATGGAAGGACGACAAGCCGCAAGCAAGGACAGACTGCCAGTCCACTAAATGTGGTTCCGTTGACCTGCAGGCCTCTCAAATGGACGAGTTGGTGACGGTTTTGGCTAAGCTCTGCGACGCACTAGAAAACTCGCCGATGTTGACGCCGCAGGGCAAACGTGACACTTTGCCAGACACTGGTCTGATTAGTGGACCTCCGACGGCCACGAAACCCGGAGATGGCAGAGGACGAAGCGCCGATGCTTGTCATGAAACAAAGCAACTCGCTCACCGAACAGAGAAGGTGAGTGCTTCCTACTGAGCTACGAAGCAGACAGCAGTAACAAATGATAATATCTTATTTCTTGTTCTTTTGTGTTGAGAGCTACACCTGGTATCTCGCGATAAAACGGGGAGTTAACTTGCCGTACATTTACTGCGGACAATGCTGGGTGATAATATCTTTGTCATTACTTTCTTCCGCCGTAATTAGTTGTTTAAATTTGTAAGAGCTGGGCAAGTCTTATCGCAACAGCGAACAATTCAAAACCGTGCTGGATAAATGCCGCATTTCTGGTTCATGAGTGCACTGATTAAGCGTCTGCGTCTTGGCGTGATTCTAGGACAGTTTCTTGATCAAACTGGAAAGTGTTCTTCCGGAAAGAATCGTAGCGTTGAATTCAAATGGGTGCCAAGTGAATTAGTCAAACAAGCCGGTTCTAGGTAGCCAATCAGGGAGAGGCGGAAATAACCAGTCGAAAATGCTTCTTTTTCGAGTCGCAATTTGATTCACAACTTCTAGCCACCTAATACGGCGGAATTAGTGGTCTATTTAAAAGATCAGCGTTAATACCACACTTTGCATGGTAACTTAGGTCGTCGATTGTGGCTTTTGCATTTCGCAAACCGAAGCATTTTAGATATTTTCGCTGTGGCTTCAAAGGTGTTATTATAACACACTGTTCACCCTCCTATCTCCACGCTTTCTCGATAATGCGTTAACGAGGTATTCAAGATAGCATCAGCACCTGCCTGCCAATTAACTTGTCACTTGGGTTCATTCTTCACCTGGCTTTTTAGCTCCTCTTCGCCTTTCTGTGGACACTTTTTTTTCTAAATCCCGGATTCCATGAGGTCTTAAAGGTTGAAACAATTCAACCAAGTTTAGGAAGAAAGCTGCGTCACGTTGAGAACGAGCATCATCTATCTGGCTTCATGAATAATTCCAAAGGGAGGTAATTTAGGATCAGGGGCGAACACTGGTGAAAATACGGTTACTGGATGGTTTTCTTTCCCTCCAATCTCGAGGTGCATGCGCCTCGATTTTGAAGCTGGTCTTGATAGCAAGCCACCCACTCATAATCTTCCTCTTAAAATCAGGTTATCGTGGAGGTGAGAGTGGTCTTCCTCAAAATCGGAGAAATCGACACCTTGAAGGAGTTCTACCAAGCGGACGCCTTCCTGCAGACGAAGTGGCGTGAACCGCGACTAGACGGGAGAAGCCCTGAGGTAAGCCGCTTGGAGCACATTAATTTTGATGTTGCGCTAGGGAAAAGCACTCAGAGCCGGAGACGATTAATGGGCATTGCGTGTTTCTGTAACACCAGCTAATTACGAGGCTCTGTTTACGCTGGTTCGTCTGGATCGTTGTCGTAGGAACTTCAGCTTGCGGTTAAATGATTCATTAGAATTTAAGCCTCTGCGCTCAGACATCCACGACTTCACGGGTGCAGTAAATTCAGATGCTTTTGTCATTTAATTTTTACTGTTTATGCAACTGAAGTTTCCGTGACAAAACTGTGAGATCATGTGTCTTTTAGCTAAAATTGACTGCTTGACGACTTTGACCTGATCTATAGAAATCTTTTCTTGCCGTTTCATGGATGGAAATTGTCAAAAGTATTAAAAGTTTTAACAGACAGCCATGAGTCAGATTGTTTTGAAGTTATAGTGAAATCATGAACCACATCAGAATTTTAATTTGCGTTAAGTTTTCGTTTACGGATTCTGTCTAGAGCCACGCTCGTTGATGCTTTTGTCTCTGAGTCAATCTCTTTTATTGGTAGTAGTTAGATGGCAGAGGCATTTTTTGCAAAAAAGATCGTTTTGTTTGAAACCCAGAGTTCAAATTTTACAAAGGAAAACGAGCAATCTCGCTCTGGCTACTTCAAATGGCTAAAATCATCATTCAAATTTTGGTATGGCAACAAGGTATAGCTTCAAACGAGTTGTGACCGACACGCATATTCACCGCTCTGCCATGACAACCGAATTCGCAGGAAAAAAATTACTTTTCACCAAATTTTGGTGTCCTCGTCCTTGGCCCTAGTAATCTACAAACATCACACCAAAAAAACTGCTTTTGAACTGTATTACTAATTTTACGAGGTGTGTCTAGTGTTCCCCGGGGTAAAACAGTTTCCAGTGCAACAATTACGTATCTCTGCCGGGGAAATTAGCACCATAAATTAAGGCTAATAGCTTATAAAACGAACACAAATTACTGGTTGTCGTAGTGGAGTTGGGTTATATTGCGTCGTTGGAAGTCGCGTTTCTAAACTGTCACAATCGTTTCTGCAATCACGTCTCCAAAATGCTCGCAAGCACGGCAATAATCGGTGGTGTCATGAATACGCGTTTGGTGGTAATTACTGCGCGTGTCGTGTAACGAGGCGACAAACATTAATGGCAAATAAACTCCGCTTGCATCCGGAGATATCTGGTATTTGTTTTAGTCAACTGCAGGGCAAAATAACACACGGTTACCCGAGCGGGGTAAACAAAGATCGGCCTGCCTTTTTACCCACCAGATCGACGCTGGGAATCGGGTAATTTTAGCTGTTGAGTGATTTGCTTGGAATTCTCGGTAGTTAGTGAATAAGCGCCTTTATTTTGAGCTTGGAATCAAGATGAAACGTATCGTGACGTTTTTTTACATCAAGTAACGTGATACTTTACAACTACATTAATGTGAAACAAAATGCAACTTTTGCTACAAATTTGAACACTGCGGTAGTCACGTCCTACCACAAATATACCGACAATCTCTGAACGGACTTGCGTACGTTAGATGACTTTAGGACAGGAGGTTCAGTGTGATGGCCAGGACATTTAATAAGCATCATTTTAATGAATCCGTTTTTCATTGTAAACATTCGGTGTGAGAAATAGGGCGATTCGTTTCCGTCAAGTCTTGTTTGAAGTGGGGTGTGTGTGTGTGTTGGAACTCCAGAGAATGGACGTTTACTTGGATCGTGGTCCTGTTCCTTGGACAGGCACAATAGTGGATTGGTCGATTTTTAAATGGTAACTTCAATCTTAGCTGGGCTATTTTCCGTTTTTGGATAAATATTTAAAATAATCGGCGTACAACCACTAAATGGGTAGCTGAGGGATCATCCGCTGACAGTTCGATAACACCATGCTGTTTAAAGCAACTTAGATAGACTTCAAGAAAACGTCTTCAGTCGTTTGATGGGTTCAAATCTTTTCTTCCAAGGAGCTGGGTTCAGTGGACTTGGACAGGTACTGGAACCCGCTTTGTTACATCGACAATATCCTATCAGAGACGAAGGAGGTTCAGTGGATCTCCACAGTAACTGGGCCGAACAGTGAGGTCTACATTGTTGAACGACGTCGCATAAAAGGCGTGTTTCTGGAGACTCTGGAACTGAACGACTTTCCACTGGACGTTCAGGTAAGTTGCCTTCACCTACAA